TCGCCTGAGGAATGACACCGATGAGTGGGTGCTCTCTGTGGATTTAACGAACATGCACACAAAGGTGTATTGTCATGACTGCAACTGAGCAGATCCCACCTTGGGCAGGATGACAGCAAGAGCCAGCAAATCAAAACCGCCCTTGGATCTTGAGGAGAAGAATAAAAGGGGTGAACAGAGACGAGGAATCAGCATAAAACCAGCCGTGAGAGTTCAATCTAAGGATGAAGAGAAGAACAGTGCTTCCTGTCCACAGCCAGTCACCTGTGGAAATGGTTCACTATTTGCTTGAGTCCAGAAAACCCCCCACAACCACACAAATCAAGAGGTTCAATTCTTCATGTACCTGAAAGATGACACTGTGCAGAATCAGTGGGTGCCCTCCCAGCAGCACAATGGCAGAGCTAGCAGGTATGCCCAGGCCAAAGAGAGGGGCTAGACATGGGGCCAGTGCTCCCCCCACAATTTTTTTTCACATGTTTCAAATGTAGAGAGGAGTGTTGAACTTAAGGGTCTCAATGTAGATTCTCCGGTCAGTGAACACATTCAGTTTAATAACCCATCTGTCCCCTGACCATGGGTAGACCTTCTTCTCTCCTTTACTTCTACATCTTCTCTCTCCTTTCTTTCCTTCTGTTCCCTCTTCCCTCCTCATCTCCCATCCCCTCCTCCCCACCCCCCATCTTGTTCTCTCTCAACTATAGCAGCTGGTTTCTTGTTTATTCCAGATCAGCTTTAAAAAGACAGCTCTCCTTCCCTCTAACATCAAGTACATTTTTGGAATCATTCTGCAAAGCAGAGCTAAAGGATGTTTAATCACAGAAGGCATCAGTGCTCATGTCTTTGAAAGAAGGATCTGAACACAGATCCAGTAGATAAAAGGCACAGGAGCACATTGAGAATTCAGCTGTAAGGCAGGACCAACACCGATCCGAAGCCACTTAGGTACTGAGTATGGGGAGGCCTGACAGAAGGCCACGAAGGCAAACCAGCTGGGACATGCAATGCCCAAGAGGGAACTCAAGATACCTTTTTGCACTGAACACACTGCAGGGCATATTGCTTCTCGTAACAGGGCACGCAGAAATTCTGATTGTCTTTAGGGATGAAACTCTTGGTTCCTATGGGCTGTTGGCAGCGATGGCAGATGAAGCAGGTCTCATGCCAGCTGCTGCCCTTGTACTCCATCTTGCGGGTACCTATTGTCAGAGTCAAAAGAAAACAGCATGGTTATAGCCTGGCCTGGAGTTCTGATCCTCTGCCCTCACAGGCTGCTGCCACCTGGTTTGAGATGGGAGCAAGTCACTTCAGCTCTTCGGCTCCCCTTTAACTGTGGATAATTCCTATTTTGTGGAGAATAAGGACTCTGCCTTTCTTTTGTTTGTTTGCCATACACCCAGATCCTAGAACAATATGTGTACATAGTATGTACTTGACATTTATTTGTTAAATATGGTGGTTGGGAATATTAAATGAAAAAAAAAGTCTCGGCATTGTAAACAGAGAAGTCTGGCACAGCACATCCTCCAGTTCTTATGGAGGATGACTTAGAATACTTCACTTTACTTGGAAAGTCACTTCCTTTGGTGTCAGTTACCTATGGTCAATCTCAGTCTGAAAATATTAAATGAAAAATTCCAGAAACAAACAATTCAGTTGTTTTAAATTGTACAGCCCTCTGAGTAGTATATTGAAATGTCACATGTCCTGCCAAGGATGTGAATCACCCCTTTGACCAGTGTATCCATGCTGTATATGCTATCCACCCATTAGTCAGTAGCTGTCTCAATTATCAGATGGACAATTAAGGTATTGCAGTGCTTGTGTTCAAGTAACCCTGATTGAATATTGGCCTATTTCATTAGTCTATTAATAATTATTTAATTATTAGCTACTGTTGTGACACACTTACTTTGCCTAATTTACAAATTAGACTTTTCTTTAATATTAAAGCAAGACCACTTCTTTTTTTTTTTGTATTTATTTTTTTAGGGGTAGTTGGACACAATACCTTTATTTCTATTTATTTATTTTTATGTGGTGCTGAGGATCAAACCCAGGACCTTGCACGTGCAAGGCAAGTGCTCTACCGCTGAGCCACAACCCCAGCCCCCTAGACTTTTGATGATAGCTTTGTATCTATAGTAAAAAAAGATAGTATATTTGGGGTTGGCTACTATCCATGATTTCAGGCATCCATTGGGGGGTTTTGAAACATAACACCGTGAGAATGAGGGGGACTACTGTGTATTCTCCTGTTTCAGACTACGAATTAAAAGCCCCTCTGGTTTTCAAAGAGGTAGAAATGACTGTGTGGTGGCTGAACCTGGAGTCTCAAGCCTGGCTCAGCAAGGACCTTCTCCAGACTCACTTTATGCCTCTGGTTGTGTGAATCGGGATGTGACGTACCTTTGTAGTTTCATGCACTGTGCTATGTGCTATGATTTAAATCTGCATCCCATTTAGCAGTCCTCTAATCTGATCTTGTGCCATCCCGTTCTCCTTGGAATAACTATTATCACTTGACAGGGTTGTACCATTCCTCCAAGTCAATCAAGTGAGCGGAAACGTTTTTTGGCTCACTCCACCATTCACAACATTTGCTGACTCACGTTTTTATACATTCCCCCAAACAGTGCATACTTATGGAAAGATATAATAATTTAAGATAGAAGATACATGTAATCGCTGTTCATGTAATTTCAGAAGTTAAAAAAAGACGGGAAAAGAAATGTAAAGGATAAAGAGATAGAAAAGTACTTCCCATGTGCGAGGCAGCTCAGGGCCCAGTCCACTAATATAACCCACGGGCCCAATCCAGACCGCTGCTGTTTTCTAAATGAGCGCTTATCATTCTTTATTATTATTGATACTAATTTTGCAGTGCTGGGAATCAAACCCAGGGCCCTCAAGCATGCTAGGCGAGCACTCTACCATTGAGCTACAGCCGGTCCATACACTGAGGTGGTGAATGGAAGGCAGCTGCACCCACTCTGTGGCTTTCCCCGACTCCACTGGCACAGAAGTTGTGTAGTTGTGTACTGTGGTGTAGTTGTGCAGAGTAGCAGTAATTGAGTAGAGACTGCATAGTCTGCAAAACCCAAGACATTTATCTGGCCCTGGATGGAGGAATTTTGCCAACCCAAGGTCAGTTGAAGGATAGGGACCCAGCATGATGGGTGCATCCATCAGACTTCAATCCAGACATCGGAGGTGAGGAGGACGAGCCTGGAAGGGAGCTGCCTGTCCCAGACTAGGGGAAGCACTGAGCTAATGCAGGCAGTGGACAGGAGTCTGTGGACGAGATCCTGGCTCCAACTCCAAACATAATAGATATGGTCCTAACAGTAAGCTCAGGCCTGTCTTTCCACCAGGTGGAAGTCTGCTCAGGAGGCATCCGCGTCTCAGGTAATTAGGAATGTGCTGAGAATTATTATATGATCATTTCATTGCATGTCATTCCCAGGCCACTTTCTCAGCTTCCCATTCCCCCCAAACCAGACATCCGTGTTCTGCCTTGCATAGATTATAAAATATGCAGAGATGTGTGTGTGGGAGGGAATTCAGGAGGTGACCTGTAATGATCTTCAAAGCTAAGGTATACAATCTATAGAATTTAAACACGGGATGGATCCTGGGACAAAAACCACATTAAGCAACTGAAATCCAGTAAAGGTGGTGGGAGGAATTTAACACACACCTTAGAATGGCTTTCCTTGGCCTCTGGGGTTTCTTCACCCATACATACTTTTGTCACTTGCTCTTTTAATGTGGGACCTTCACTCTCATCAAGCCCGCCCAAAGCCAAAAGATTTTGTCAGTGAACATGGGGACGGTTGACTGAAGTGAATTCCTAGAATTTTCCAAAATAAGTCTTAAGTGAACACCAGTGCTCTGGGAACTGACCATGCAGGGGGTTCACTGGGCACCTGAAGCCCAGGGAGATGGTGACTGCACATTGACTGCAGTGGGCACCGTGCTGTACAGTTATGCAACATGGCCAGCAGGTGGCAGCAGAGCTCTTCCTGAGAAGGGAGTGGGGCTCAGAACAGCCTATGGGCAGGAAAGTGCAGGCTAGAGGAAGGGTATCATTCTGATTCAAGCAAACAAATGAAAAATCAGATACTTGGGTGCAAGATTAGAGTCGCTGGTCCCCCTTGAACCTGCTCAGAGCCTGCAATACATCTGCAAGAAAAGTCCTCCAAGGGAGGCTCAGTATTTGGACAATGAGAGCTGGTGAACCCCGGAACTGGGTTTTTCCTCCCTAGTCATCAAGAGATTGGCTTGTGTGGGGCCCTCAGGGAAGATTTTTCACTTGGGACATGCCTCTTGTCCTCTAAGTCTAAATTCACTGCAAAAGCTATGCTGATGATCTGTCTGCTCTCCATATTATTATAAAATTGTTACTGAGTACTGGGGACGGAACCCAGGGGTGCTTTACCACTGAGCTGCATCCCCAGTCCTTTTAATTTTATTTTATTTTGAGACAAGAACTCACTAATTTACTGAGGTTGGCCTTTAACTTGTAACCCTCCTGCTTCAGCCTCCTTCGTTGCTGAGATGACAGGTGTGTGCCACATGCCCTGCTTAAATTTATACTTTTTAATTGGCATATAATTATTTGTACTTATTTAGAGGGTACAGTATTATAACTTGATACATGCAAAAAGTGAAGAACAATCAAATCAGGGTAGTTGGCATTTCTGTCTCCCCAAATATCAGTTCTATACGCTGAGACTCTGCACACACTTCTTTAGAAAAGATAAATGAATTGCTGTTGTCCATAGTTTTCCTGTTGTGCCATGGAATTAGGATTACTTTCCCTCCAATGGTCTTTTAAAAATCAAGTCACTGGGCATGGTGGTGCATATGCCTATAATTCTAGTAACTCAGGAAGCTAAGGCAGGAGGATTGCAAGTTCAAAGCTAGCTTCAGCAACTTAACAAGGCCATAAGCAACTCAGTGAGACCCATCCTAAATAAAATATAAAAAAGGGCTGAAGCTGGGGCTCAGTAGTTAAGTGACCTGGATTCAATCCCTGGTAGCAAAAAACAAACAACAAACCAAGGTCAGCAAATGCTTTAATCTGGTGTTTGTTTTTTTGCACACCCCAGACTTTCTAGACACCCTGCCTTTGGAGCTCAGCCCACTTCTCCTGGTAGAGGTACCTGCAACACAGGGATCAAGCCGTCCAGCTCAGGAGACTCTGTGAAGATGACATGGGACTCCAGAAGCGATGTGCCTGGCCAAGGGTGGGACTCTGGTTACGCTGTTATTATTGCCATCTGGCATTTTCTACCACTGATCCTGAAGTTGAGACTTTCGTAGCCCAGCTCCTCTTTTTCCTTAACAGAACAGACTGCAGGGCAGTTACTTCCTAAGGTATCTGTTTAGTTCACCTCGGAGTTGCTGAAGTGCTCGTTTCTTTATCTGTGATCAGATCATGAGTTTTGCTTTTCCCTCTTCCCAATAAACCCCAGGAGAAATGGAAGGTGCAACGATTGATGTTTATATGCCAGCTTGGCTAAAGTATGAGACCTAGGTTTTTGCTCAAAAGCAGTCTAGCTGGGCACAGTGGTGTATACCTATAATCCCAGTGGCTTGGGAGGCTGAAGCAGGAAGATTGCAAGTTCAAAGCCAGCCTCAGCAAAAGTGAGGCACTAAGCAACTCAGTGAGACCCTGTCTCTAAATACAACAGGGCTGGGGATGTGCCTCAATGGTCAGTGCCCCTGAGTTCATTCCCCTGTACCAAAAAAAAAAAAAAAAAAAAAGAGTCTAGCTGGGCCCAGTGGTATGTGCTTCTAGTCCCAGCTACTTGGGAGGTTGAGGCAGAAGGATCACTTGAGCTTAGGAGCCAGTCTGAGTAACACAGTGAAACCCGTCTATAATAAAGCAAAATGAAAAGCAAAAGTCACACTAGCAGTGTTGCTGTGAAGGTGTTTTTTCCATGTGATTAGCATTTACAATCAATAGACAGAGTGAAGCCCATGGTGGGGGGGGGGAGCTCATCTAATCAGTTGAAGTCTCACTAGCAAAGACTGTTTCCCCGAGGGAAGAAATCGTTCTCCAGAATCTCCTTGGCCCGAGTTTCCAGCCTGTTGCCTTGAAGACCTATATTTGGAGCTTCAGCATCAATTCTTCCCTAGGCTGCCAGCCATCCAGCCTGCCCTTCCAGACCCCACCCCCCTTATTGTGTGAGCCAGTCTTTTGAAAGAAATCGACCTCTCTGCACACACACGTGTGTGAGTGTGAATATATCTCCTATTGGTTGTTTCTCCATAGAACCTAACAGAGAAGGCCAAGTCGGGGGAAAATGCCAAGATCAGGAGATGTGTCCCTTCTGCCTTGTGAGGAGGAAAATGGGGTCTCATCCAAGGTCAGCAGCCAGGAAGTCCCAGCTCCAAAACCAGAGAGCTGAAAACCAACAACCGCCATTTCCACTCTGTCCCTGAGAGCCGAGTCCAGGGAAGAAGAGGACAACTGGCTCCAGTCCCCTGTGGCCTGCGCCTTCGTCACCAAGGACACAAACACCAGAGGGGCGTCCTGAGTCACCACAGGTGGGGTGCAATACCATAATGCCCCGAAGTCACATCTGTTGGGCGGTTTTCTAATTCACAGTGATTCAGACTGGCAGGCAGGGCGTCCAGGTAATGAGGAAGGGAACCGAGGAATGTCTTGGGAGCGTGTGTCCTCCTTCAGGTGGGGAGACCAGGGCCTGAGCAGCTGCCACTGGCTGAAGTTACTTAGCTCCTGGGGAGTCCAACAAGGGCACTGGCCTCTGGCTCTCCATCCAATGCACTTGGACCCCACTGAGAGGCCTAACTGAAAATGACCCAGCGCTGCTCTTTGTAATCTTGGCAGTGAGGCTGTGAGCACTCCAGACCTATGCGTGAGCCTTCCACCGACACACTGTGCGGGACTCCCCCTCCGCCGTCTACCTGTACAGGAAGCACCTTGGCTCATCGGGAGGGACGCACTTTCTCCTTCTTCTGTTCTGGTGAGGTTCAGACCTCTATGCCTGCAGCAAAGCTTGCTGAGAGACGGACAGGGTTTACACTCCTGGGTCCTTCACTGGTAGGATAAGACAGGTAGGTGGACCTTGGGGGGCCTTTAATTTCATTTAAGCTGAAGATGGCAAATGCTTTTATGTTCTCATGAAAGGAGCCTCACGGAGGCCCCTTCTTAACACATGCACGGTGTGGTCACCACGGCTCAGTGAGCAGTGAACGCCTTCCCTGGGGGCTGGGGGTGTGACTCAGGGGTACAGAGCTTACCTAGCGTGTGCAAGGCCCTGGGTTCCAACAACACACACACGTGCACACACACACACCAACAACACTTCTGAAGGAGTGTGTCGAGCAAGCCTAGACAAACATCTGGTGACACCAGGTGGTCCCTGCACCTCCACCTGCTCCCGAGAACCAGTCTCCAGCCGCCTGGCTCAGGGCCTCCCTCACCTCTCCAACCCAGGAAGAGACCTAGCATGACCTGGTCCCCAGGAAGGGGAAGGAAGGACATGGGGATGGGGAGAAGATGAGGGGGGAGGGCAGGCAGGATTTACTAGAAAAAAGGAAGAATACTGAAGGGAAAAAACAGCAGAACGGAGAGGACAAAGTCAGAAAGCCTTCACCAGCCAGCGGGGGCACCTGCACCCTGGGGAGTGCACTAGGGGAGGAGCCTTTGGGAGCTGTGATGGAGAGGGAACGAGGAGTTCCAGAAGTTTGCTATGAGTTCTCAGTGGACGCCTCCTTGGGCTCTTGTCAAGAAAACCAGTAAAGATTTCGTTTGTCTCCCAGTGGGTTTCCTTACTGCAGGACGGCTGTGTCCGGCTCAGGGCTCCCTGTGGGCTAGGCCACAGCTGGCCAGGCTCCTACAGGCTGCCCTTGTCCTTCCACTTGGCCCTGCCCTTGGGCCCCGAGTGTCTAACATCTGCAGAGCGGGGCCACTCTAAGGGGCCTTCCCGCCTTCATCTCCATCTTGCGAGGCTTCCCCGCGGCTCCTTCCTCTCCCACAGCAGGCTGGGCGTTTCCCATCCTTGTCATAGCATGCCATCATTATTTTCAAGTTGCATTAGCCAGAGAAATGGAGTAGACCCTCGCCTGAAGGCCTAATTATTTCCATTTAAAAACTTATATCTTCTTATCCAATGTATCTTCCTAAAATACTTCCCATCTGTCAGTCTCTCACTCACAACTCTCCAGGATCTCTTCGCTGCCAAAAAACAAAGCCAACTCAAAATAAAACAGAAACTGTGTAGCTTGGCAGTCAGGGTCTCCACTAAAGGATGGGGTTCGACTCCAAATTCCCTCAGAATCACAAGGTCAATTTACTCTTTAGACCAAGGTGTCATTAAATTTTACATAACCCTGTCAACTCACCTAACTCAACATTCTTGCTGTGGGTTAGAGTCTCCTAACACGTCTGCCCTTAATTCCCTTGAGCTCAATTTTCTTGCAGGTCCATGGAACTCAGCTGCTGGACGTTAGGACCGTGCAAATGGCCACACTGGTATTCCAGATCACCACTGGCTGTCCTTAAGCTACCAACTCAAGGTCCTCGACTCCAGTTCTTCTTACCCATCTTATTATTGCATCCGTTGACGTAATGAACATTTAAAACCCCTTTAAGTCAGGCATGGAGCCTCTAGTCCCAGCTACTAGGCAGGTGGAGGCAGGCAGATTGCTTGAGCCCAAGAATTCAACACCAGCCTGGACAGCACAGCAAGACCCTGTTTCACCAGACAGACAGACAAAACGAAAATCCTCTTAAGGGAACTTTTTGTTTGGTTCCATTTACTGACAGAGTGAACTGAACTTCTTTAAAATTATGTTTCTACCACCGGGCACAGGGGCACACACTGTAATCCCAGCAGCTCGGGAGGCTGAGGCAGGAGGATCGTGAGTTCAAAGCCAGCCTCAGAAACTTAGTGACGGGCCACACTTCCTAAGGACATCCCACTGAAGAGAGGTTCTCTGCTGGCTCTGTGTGGCTCTCCTGTAGGGATCTCAAATTAAATAGGTCCCAAGTGGGATCCACATGAACAAGCTCCCTGGCATTCAGATTTAACTGGTGTTCTGCGTTTGTATTGATTAAAAGGAGGCAATTCTTCCCATAGGTCACCCTTTCGTTGGTCCTGCAAAGGATGTCCTGATGGCACATAGCCTTAGTTAACAGCCACGACTACCTTCTGTCTGTCTCCAAGGTCAAGATCTTAGGTTCTTCAATGAGCTACTCTCCCTCACCCTCATTTTTCATATGTATCTGATAGGATTTATCTCTGTAATACTTTATTTTAAAAATCCTACATTTTGTTCATTTTTTTAAACAAAAAATTCCTCTTCTCACTACCAAAACAAAACAAAACTAACAGTTTCTCCCCTCAGAAAACCAAGGGACATATACTTATCCTCCCCCACCCACAAACAGTACACTTGATCACATCCCTCGCTCTTGACCTGGCTGTGGCTCTGCCCTTTCTGATGTCCGTCAGCACACCCGCTCCACACACCGGCTCCAGGAGGGCAGAGGACGGTGGGGCTCCCACCCACGGCTCATGTACGCCCCGCCCAGGCCCAGGGCCCTGAACACACCAGAACTCAATGCATACTTGCTGCAATAACTGAGTGAGTACAGATTCAGCAAGGAGAAGGGACGAAAAGAGAAAGCACATCTGCTAGTGGAAGGTGAGGCTGAAGGAGGAGGCTTGGGGGGAAGCCCAGCGTTCTCTTGCTGCAGTCAGCCCTGTGTCCATGGCTTCCCGTGGATCAAAATACTCAAGAAAAAAAATGGCATCAGTGCTGGACACACATGAACTTCCCTCTCGTGGTCATCCCTAAATGATGCAGAATAAAACTCTTTGTGTTATGAGTCATCTAGAGATGATTGAAAGTACACAGAGACGTGAGCAGGGGCTGTGCAGTATTACACCATTGCATATAGGGGACTGGAGATCAGGGATGTCGCTGTCTCCGGAGGGTTCTGAAACGCATCCCCTATGAATACTGAGGGATGACTCTACAGATGGGCCACATAACCATCCCACACGTACGGAAGGAAGATTTGTCTCCTCCCAATGACCGGCCTCCATCCCTGCTTCCCAAATCTCTAATCACCTCCCTAAGTCAAGGACCAGCACTGTGGGGTCCACACCAGGGTCTGGGACCCTCACTTCCTTTGAGAGAGAGGAGCGCGTGCTGACCTGGCATGATGGTCTTCTTGCATTCCTGGCACTTGGACGAGTACTCGTTGGAGTAGCAGTCTGTGCAGAGCAGCTGGTCCTCCTTGGCCGCGAAGGGCTTGTCCACCAGTGAGCTCTTGCACTGGAAGCAGTGGAAACAGGCCTCGTGCCAGTGGCGGTCCTTGTAGGACAAGTCCTGCAGAGTCAGACAAACAGGACGGTCAGGGACAGGAGAGGAGGGGCGTGGAGCACAGGGCCAGGTGCAACCTGCAGGGACAGCCAGGAATGAGGTGGGCTGGGCCAGTACGCCTTCCTGCACCACCACCACCTCACAGGGGACACTGGTAATGCCAGGCCACTTTGTCCTTGCTAGAGCATAGAGCAGCAGGTTAAATGTATGTTCACGTGTGTGTGTGTGTGTGTGTGTGTGTGTGTGTGTGTGAGAGAGAGAGAGAGAGAGAGAGAGAGAGAGAGAGAGAGAGAGATGCTTTCAAAAAATAGATTTTCCTTATGTATTTCCTGTAACAAAGATCATCAGAAAATGGATCATGGTGGTCACAGGCAAGGCAGGGAAACCCGTGTTGGGACACACAGAGATGGAATCCTCCAAGGTTAACTGGTGGGAGGATGTCAGGAGAGGCTTCCCTGTAGGTGCCTCCAGTTGTGCGTGAAAGATCCTGGACGCAGCAAGCTGGGTGGGGCGGGATGGAGAGGGGATTCCCGGCAGAGAAAGAGCATGCATGACAATGACAAGCCGTGAATGACACGCTGGGCAGAGCAGTGTGTCCGGCTGCAGAGACCAGCCGGGGCAAGGTGACAGGTTCATCTACAGGGTCACTGGACACATGGCTTCCTCTCTTTTGTCAGTGGAGTGTCCACCTGTCCTGAAGGCTGTGGAGAGGGAAATGTTAAGACTGGCTGTGACAGGCGGCTAAGGGAGGGGGGAAGGAGGGGACAGGAGATGCAGGGGCTGCCTCGGGCTGCCTCTGCAGGAGACTCGAGCAGGGTAGAGATGGGAAAGGCACAGCCAAGCACTGTAGTCAAGATGAGGAGAAAGGAGCCCAGGAGAGGAAACTGTGTTGACCCTGCACTGCCCTTGGCCTTGTCTGAGGAATCCTAAGATGTCCTTGGACATTTGCCCTTTTACAATGGCACACGGCAACAATTTTGACACTCAGCTGTACCCGTCCACTGCTGTCTTCATGGGTCTGTCCAGCCCTGCCCCACACCACCATCCATTTATTAACAAGGCAGAAGCCAAATTTCAGGCCGCCGCCTGGTTCCCCGGCCCGCTTCCAGGTCTCAAGTATCTCGCCCAGCCCGTGGGAGGGCTGCTCACACAGATGGCCATCAAGAATCGTCTTCCCCCGACGGCTCTGTTCCCGACGCAGTCAAGCCTGGGGTGACGCCAAGTGTGGGATGTGAAAACATCTCTCGGATTTGATTAGCAAGTCCTAAGCCACCAACTGCACTCAGAACCCAAACCAGAACAAACAGTTCTCTTTTGCTAAAATACCAGTGTGTGCACTTGTGTGTGTGTGTGTTTTCCCAGAACTTCAGATCAAACTAAAGCCATTTGATTTGGTGATCTCTTTGCACATTTTTTTTCTTCGTTCAAGGAATGTAGAAAAGTGTGTGTGTGTTGATACACTTTGAAGACAGTCAGGTCTAAGACCTCAACGGTGAGGGGCGAGCTTGGTGTTGGTCCCTCCTGAGGGTCCCTGTTGGCGGCTTACTTCCTGGGACAGCTACAGGTAGAATCACTGCTGATGCAGGAAGAGGAGTGAAGGTGAGGCAAGGTCAAATTTTCTCAAAGCAGAACTGGAGGCTTTGTTCTCAGGAGAGAATCAATTTGGGGTCTTAGTGGGTTCTCTGAGATAGGTACTGCCTCTCGGAGGTCCAGAGGGAGATCTTACTGAAATGCCTCGGCGCTTTCCAGTCTGTGTGAACCTCACCTGCAGGACATGTGTACAGGGTGGGGTGGGGGCAGCGCAGCTTTTGCATTTTTAGCCTAAAATATTGTCAGAAAGTCTGCAGAAAAAATTATGTGGGCTTTATTGGTTTTTCGATCAATAAAATAAAGTACAAACTGCTTTCATTTGTGTTGATGTGTTCATATGTGAAGTCATCATGAATAGCAAAGCTCACAATCTATAATTACACATCCTAATCACTCAGGATTAGGAACGGCCTCCGCTCTCTCCCGGCATGTGTCCCATCTTCAAGGAGGAATTTGAGGGGCTGGGGTGAAGCACGTTGATAGAGGAAAGAAAAAATTCCGAAACAAAACCTCAGATATTTGAGATACTGTTGATGGTAATTTGATCATGTTGCACATTTCAGGCACCAATCAGCCCTGCAAGGTGAGTATTATTGCTAAAGCTTAGAGAAGTCCATTATGTTTTCTAAAGTCACACAGCTAGTGTGTAGAATATATAGCTGAGCTAGGCTAATGCAAAAGATGTTTTTTCTTTCTTTTTTTTTTTAGCTAACCATACCAGCTGGAATCCTGTTCAGACTTATGCTGCTCTTTGCTTTAAAAAAATGTACTGTGTACACCAGGCACAGAGGCGCATGCTTGTAATACCAGCAGTTTGGGAGGTTGAGGTAGGAGGATCGAAAGTTCAAAGCCAGCCTCAGCTACTTAGTGAGGCCCTAAGCAACTCATCAAGACCCTGTCTCTAAATAAAATATAAAAAGGGCTGGGAATGTGGCTCAGTGTTTAACCACCCAGCATTCAATCCCTGGTACCAAAAAAAAAAAATGTACTGTGTGGATACAGTGGAAAAAATTCAGAGCCCACCAAACCTTATGTCATTTAAGACTGTGTCCAAATGAACCAATTCAGCATTGCTTCTGCTTGGATTTTGAATAAAGAATTTGAACAAACCACTTAGAGTCCTGTCCACCGAGAACACTAATCAGCCTAATTTGGGTTGAGTTTTGTTTTGTTTTTAAATAATGCTGTCACTATTACAATGCTGATTGTGGAATACATGCATTAAAAACTTCAATTTCATATGGAAAAGGGCATAATGGCTCCCTAAAAAATTACAAACAGAATTACCATTACCATTTTGGTTTTATAATCAAAAGAAGTGAAAGTGGGGTCTCATAGAGATATTCATGGATCCAGATCAGGACAGCATAATTCACAATAGCCAAATGTAGATGCAACCAAACATCCACTGATGGATGAAGGGCTGAGCTAAATGTGGAATATCCATGCAGTGGAGTTTCATTCAGTGTTAGAAAGGAAGGCATCCTGCCCCCTGCTGCAACATGAACTTTGAGGACATGGTGGTAAGTGGCATAACACAAATACGTACGACCTCCCTTACGGAGATAAGGAGTCGAGGGAATAGACCCAGACAGTAGAATGTTGGTCATCAGAGACAAAGGGGGACTGAGGATTGGTGTGAAGTGGGTACAGACTTCCAGTTCTGGAGATAGAAAGTCCTGGGGATGGTGGTGATGGTGGTTCAGGGTAAGTACCACTCTCCTGAGCCGCACACTCAAACACGGTTCAGATGGCAAACTCTATGCTGTGTGTGTTTTGTCATCACTCAAAAGACTAAGTCTGTTTGGATGATTCCATTCCACGTGTCCAGTGCCTGTATGGGCAAGAAGCCCTCAGTGTCTCTCCCTGGTCGTTAACTCAATGGTTCTAGAACCACAGTGCCTAAATTCAAATCCGCCATCATGCACCCGCCTGACTGGGAAAGTCATTGAACGCCTCTCAACCTCAGTTTCTCACCTGTAAAACAGAAATCACGTAGCAACTATTGGCTGCAACAGTGGAATGAGTCAGTACAGGTAAAGCATTTATATAGCAATTGCTCAATGGTGTCAGATTAAGCCATCACTCAGACCATAACAATGAAAACAGTCGCCTCACAGTGTCGCTTTCTGCAATTACATTTCCTTATAGAGTATTAAAAATCAGAATATCTGCCATTTAAACACCCCCATGCTCTTCACTCTACCACTCAACTTTTGTATTGTGCTTTTTGATTCTCCTTGGCTCCTTTGGATGTAAAATGACGTTTCTGAGTTTGCCTTACCTATCTGGAGCCATACAATAACCCTATGAAATAAAGGCTTCATTCTTTTACATAAGAAAATTTAACGTAATGATACGAAAATAAGCTATGTTTTCTGCAACATTCCCAGTGCCCTTCTGCCTTGGTTGACCCAACAGAACTAAACTGGGTTCCTGTTTTTCACCTGGCACGTCAGCCCCTTTCCAAGTGGGTCTCACCTTGTTCCAGCCTCCTCTATCTCACTGCCATGCCCTCCCCTTCTCCTGGGGCTCAGCTGTCTAACTCAGCCCATCTCTCACCTGACTGTGAAGCGTCGGACCAGGTCGATAGGGCTGCAGGGCAGCCATGAACCGCCCTGGCCCACAGAGCACCGAGAGAACCTGTACCTCTCTTTCCAAATCACACTCAAGGCCACACCTCCCTCCTTGTGCTATCAACAGTTCCTGCCGGGCTCCTCCGGGGGCTCTCAGTCTGTGCTCTTCAGCCTGGGCTCAGTTAATAAACTCATATCACAGCTTCTTCCTGGACTCTTAGGTGAGCAGGAAGCAGGAAGTGAGCAAAGACGTTAAGGCAACAGGAAGGTCACTGAATACTGCCAGTTTTGACTTCTCAAAGCACGAGGAGGCTTTCGGCCAGTGTGGTATTCTCTGAGTCTCAGTGGGGACTCAGGGCTGCAGCCCCAGGACTCCCTGGACCTTAGAGACCAATTGGAAAATGCCACCCAGTGGTGGAGAAGCTAGATTATAGTGGGCCAGGCTCCTGCCTCAGCTGGTATCATCACCATGGTCCACTCACCACCTGAAAGGACCTGGGGCCAGGGGACCCTCTTCATCTCTCTCACAGCTCCAAATAGAGTTTTAGTGTAGTTATTAGCACCATGCTAGTCTGGTCTAGTTATTTTGTCTAATTAATTTTGCTTTTTTTTTTTTTCCACAGAATAATCAGCCCTTGGTATCTCTGGATTCTCAATCCTTGGATTCAAC